CCGGCCCCCCTGATGCTACGTGCCTGTACGTGTTCTAATCGTTTCGTGTCACCTCTCAACATTTAGTATCTAAACCACTAAGTTTTTCCCCATAAAGAACAGGGTTTCGTACAAAGTACGCAGAGCGTGCGGTATCGTTTGACAGAGTCGATTTACATTTCAACGTCTGTGCAATTTTGTAATAATAATAAAATAGATGTCTCTTTAACAGGTGTCATTTCATTTAATACTTGAAAGTTGCGTATAATCTACACAGTTACCATTATGATAAAATATCATTTTGGTCATTTTTTATGTAATTAAAGAGTGTAAGACGATTGGTTAATGTAAAACGTATGTTCCAAAATTCAACACTGTCGAGAGACAACCTGTTTAAACATGTTGTAATAACTATCGTGTATATCTTTATTTATATTCACTTATAATATTTTTTTGAATTTATTTCTTATGAAAACCATGTCCATTAAGGACGACGTTTACTCAAATAAAAAAAAAAAAAAAAAAAAAAAAAACTAATAGGAATGAAAAACCACTTATTGTAAATGGTAGACCTTTGTCAATATCATGAACCACGCAAGTGAGTTAAGGTTGCGTACAAATATTTTTGTGCAAATAAGGTTATTTATTAAAAGCCATAAAGGCTATATCTATCAAACAGAAAATGCTTTTTTTTTCTAATACAAACTTGTTACCACGATATGTGAAAGCCAGTACGCACTATCACATGTTATGACGTCATTGCTCTCTACTACATAAGGCTATATTGAATCAAGACGAAAACAGGGAATAGTAAGAAAACGAATATTTCAAAGATTGATGGTATTGCTACACCAATATCGAAAGTTCAATCATTTAGTTTCTATTTATAAAGTTTTGAATTGAAACAGGATAAAAGCCCGTGTAAGTTTTCTCAAATTCTTATCAAATGAGAAAGGGCATAGGATTTGTGCTGCAATTCTGTTAAACTTCTTTGCATTATACATTATTTATGTAAAATTAAATACTTAGGATATGCGCATGCGCTGAAGCTGTTTTGTTGATGTGTTTTCAACTGCAAACAAAATGGTCAGGAAAAAAACCTTTCTTCTTTACAATCATTGACTACGACTAAAGTAGAAATGTTGATCCCCCTATCCTCAACATAATCTTCATTTTGTTTGTGAATTACGATTACTGTGACGTAACCTAAGGAATTGCAACAAACAAGAAACTGTACTTTAAATCCGTTTTCAGCTAAAATTTCTAATTAAGTTCTGATGATAAAAATGATGTGGTGTTATACATGAAAATAAAGGGTTCTTTCTCACCGATAATATTGAAACAAAAATAAATATTATTCCATAGGTATTCATACGTTAGTAGGACAATATATTCGGGAATAATGTCGTTTTCTGCTTTGTCCTATTGTAACAGAAATAAAAAACCTTCAACAGAGACTTTTTCTCAAAAAAATTGAAAAATTTTCTCACATCACTTCGAAATTTCAAAGGATCTTTCTATCTAACATTTAGTCGTATTTATGTAGAAATATTCTCTATCATCTGCATACGGTGTCTTCATCTCCCAGCTAATTCAATACTTCGGAACATGCTCCGAATACGATCAATATTTAAACCGAGTTAGACACAGGCAGATAAGTTGATGCTACAAGGTTTTCAACAACCTCTCTAAAGTCAGTATTTCGTAAATTCTATGGCCGTTATAATGACCTTGTTAGCAAATATAACCTACCACTGGGTCGTATTTTGGGTGACGTGTTTCATACCAATAGCCTTTGTTACGGAATTTTCCTTCCACGTGATCAATTTACAGGGATCACAGCGAATGTGACCGGTCAACAGCGGATGCTTACTCCTCTTAAACACCTGATCCCACATTTGGAATTTTCAGGGCCCATGAGTATATCCTTTCACAGATTTGTATTCTTTTAAGATTTTTTTTTTTTTTTTTTTTTTTTTTTTTTTTTGAGCAAAATGAGTTTTCCCTTTCTCAGTATTAATATATATTGATAATTGCTGTGAGATTTTTTTTTCTTATGCGTTAAGTTCGCCTGATTTCAAAATTGTAATCCATATATTCATAAATTAGCTTAAGTGTGATTCGCTTGTATTTATATTGGTAGTTAAAGGGGCATGGACACGGATTTGAAGGTAATTTTTTTTTATCAAATTTAACATGTATGTATAAAATCATGAATCACATGTTCAGAGAGTGCTTCAGATCATTGTCTTATAAAAGCGTGTCTAGGAACTTCATTTATTGCAAAAATGATCTTAAGGAACATTGACACAGAATTGTCCATTTGTTTAAAATGCTACTTCTATTTAAACATACCTTCATTTTAGTGATTTAAACGTGCATTAGATTCTTAGATAAATTTTGTTTTCTTGAAGGTTTACATCAGATCATTTGGACAATTTTGTGTTTAAATATAACATAAATGTACTAAAACTACATTGTAATGACAAATCCTTCCTTATGTTTATCACAACAAACCATATGTATCCCAAAATGAAGATCTGCATTCAAACAAAAATGAAATCTAGAAGGAAAAACTTATCAATGTGTTCTTCCTGGTTATCAGTATCTTCTTTCTTGTTATGACACATATTTAATGGTGTTTATCACAAAAAAACATATGTATTCCAAAATACTTTCGGCAACCGAACAAAAATAAAAACTATATGAAGAAAAAAAAACTTATCAGTATATCCTTCCTGGTGTTGTAAATATAGAAAAAAAACTGCACCTATTGGAAAACCTCGACTCTGTCATTATTTCTCTAATATCTATGTTTAATTCCCATCTCTTTTCCGCAACTCCTCCTATACACCATTCCTTTTTACAAGTATTACAGAGTTATCGCTCTTTGCTACAAAGAGGCGTTGTCGTCGGCCGCCATCACGGTTCTGACAGTGTGACAACAGAAACACTCTTTATGTCTAACGAATAAGGTGGTGGCAGACACTGTGCTGTCTTTGTTGTTTCAAGACAAACGCGCTAAAATATGCCAGCCAACGTACGTCGGTAGAAAAGAAGCCTACCGACAGGACCTTGATATGTTTAAACAACGTGTTTTTTTTTTAATTAAATATCGATTATATATACCCGTCGTGCTATTTATCCTTTATCTCTTGTGTCGCCTGCTGAACATAGCTACACTTAGGGCGTTTGTCTGTCTGTCCGTCCGTCTGTCACATCTTAATTATATGTCGAGATCTGTAAGAGGTATAGACTTGACATTTTGTGCATATATATGTGTCAGAGGAGTTCTGGGAACCATGGTTTTTTTGTATAAGAAAGTCATTTAATGACACCTATTTGAACCCCTGGGTGAAAATGAAAATTTCGAAAACTTATTGCCCATCTACAGGACACCACCAATCACCTCCCAAACGACGATAATGCTACTGCATAAATTGTAAGATGAGTTCTGGGAACCAGGGTTTGGTAGAAAAACAGTATTTTCGACACCCATTTGACCCCCAAGGGTGAAAATGAAAATCCCGAAACCTTATTGCACATCTACAGGACACCACGAATCATCTTCCAAAAGATGATTAGACTACTGCCTAAAATGTAGGAGGAGTTATGGGAACCAGGCTTTTGTAGAAAAAAAATCATTTTTTGATCCCCGTTTTGCCCCTAGGGTTAAATTGAAAATTCTTAAACTTAATTTAACATCTATAGGACGCCACCTATCATATTTCAAAAGATTAATTGAATTCTGCTTAAAATGTAGGCATAGTTAGATTAAGAAGAAAGTGTGACAGACGGACGAACGGACCAGGGAACAACAATATACCCGAACGTTCTTTAGAAAGTGCGGGTATAAAACTCGAGAGATAAAGCGGTTCAATAGATCGAAAGGCGACAGCAATCCGGATTTCTCAGGCCGGATCATTATATTTATATTATTATGTTATCCTATGTCTTTTTTTCAAACCTTCTGGCAAATTTTGAAATTAGATCGTATTTTACCGGTATTGCACATGATTTTAAAAAGAAGCATCGTACATGTACATGTATCTTAATTAAAAAAGAAAAAAAAATCAAGTTTCAAATATTTTATACTGATATACATTCCGATGCATTATTACAGTTACTGTTGTTGGTGTTTGAGTTATGTTTGCTATCAAAAGTAAATAAAATACCTACATAAATAGCTACTTTAGGGACTAACGATTCTTTTATTTGCAATTACCATGAGACATTTTTTTTATATAGTGCAGTAATGATGAAATTGCCAGCAAACTGATATTTTTTAAATAACCTTGTATGCATCAAATTGTATCCTTCGGCATTAATATGAAACAAATATGCATAACTTGTGGGCTCCTTCAGTATTTCAGCTAGGATTTCAAGGACAGGAAGCCAATGCTGAAAGGGCGTTGATTGATTATTAATTGGGGACATGTTCAAACATCCCTTTTGTTATTGGGGTTTCTAAAGACTGTTGGGTCATTTCCTGTTAAGAGTATTTTATACGGACTTTCAGTTTCAGTATTATTATTATCATCACTTCCAAGACGAATCCTGATAATTTATGGATTATCATATATTTTTTTTAATATTTTTTATATAAATAAAATGGATTTGATATGTAAACATAAAGCTATAAAGGAAAACAATGAAAACCTATTTATTTTATTTGTTATTGAAAACATTCTTATTAAATCAAATTGCAAATCCAATATATAAATCTACATTGGAATTATAAGCCACTGAAGGTGACAAGTGGCACATCAGTGTGTGCATGATAATTTCCATTATTGTTAAGGTCCCTTTGAATCCAAACTCTGTCTCCATCCCGTAGATGTAAAAAAGCAACATTTGTTCCTGTTTGAAAGATAGTTGTGCTGCTACTTGTATAATGTGACATTGTCCTCACCTTTTTAGCTCCGTTTAACATGATATCAAGATATAAGTCAGTGTCACGATATGAGACCACTGCAACATAAAGAAAACAAAGACACCTGATACAGGTGAAGTGAATATACCTGTGGACGTATCATAACCACCACCGTGCTGTAAATCAGTGTATTAAACACAAGAGTTGAACCAGTCCAGGAGTTGCTTCTTGTTGCTCGAGCAGTAAATCCGACATGATTCTGCATATCTACAAATATTTGGATTTACATAAATTGGTTTTCTAATACACCTCTCTTCTTATAAATTATCGGAATAGAATTATGTATACAAAAACAAAAATTTACTCTTTTTATATACAATTAATTGAGCATTGCATTTCAGTCTTTAGTCTTTCTTTTGTTCTTGTTATAAATGGGAAAATCATATCAATACCTAAAACACTGGATTCCAACTTAACAAAGTTTTGTGATACAAGGCGGCCTTGGCGAATGTCTGAAAATATTTGCTTTATCGTCTTGTTGATGTCCTTGTTTTCATCTAAAATAAAGGAAATGTGTTGCATTTTTCATGATTTTACATAATATTTGAAAAGGATAGGTAAACAAACAAAATTAAAAAAAAAAAAAAAAAAACAAAAACAAAAAAAAAAAAAAAAAAACAAAAAAAAAAACAAAAACACGAATAATGTTCTAACCACAAATAATGTTCTAGTCAAAGCATAAACTTGTAGCATAACAAACCTAAAGCTCTTTGAATTTGAAGGGTACTATCAGTTATATATCTCTCTAAGGTTGAATTGATTACTCCAGATTTGGTGCTTGCTTGCATTAAGAATAGATGGACATTTCGGAGTTCATCTTTTAGTACTGACACGCTGTTTCTATCTTTTTCAGCATTGACAGCTAGGCTTCGTGTCAACGAAACAACGCTGCTTACATCTTGTTTGATTTGTTTGAGCATTTCTTCCTGAAGATCCGAGTTTTGATTGATGATCGTCGTAAATTACAATTGTCTTCTAGGCTTGTGAATTTTTGAGACAATACAGCATTCTGTTTTTCAGTGGTTCTTAGTCGCTGTTTTAAATCGGCTATCTCATTTTCAGCAGTAGATTTATTCCTTTCGGGACTCAAAACTTTTTCTGTAAGAAGTCGAACTGTGTTCTCCAGGGACGAAATCTGTTTTTCTGGAAGATGATGTATTGTTGCTGAATCTGTTAGCACTGAATTGTGATCGGTCGTTGTGCTGTTGTCAGGATTGTGAAACAGGAGACAGTTTCCGTATTCCACATTTTTGAAGCACGAAAAACACATAATAAAGAAAGACAACGAAGGTTTTTCCATTAGTTTGAAAAGTTAAACTGTCAAATCTTCAAATTTCTATGTCACTGGAGTGTCACTTGAATGCAAATCTATTCACGTGATTTTCTTTTATCATTTGTAAACAATCAAAGTATACTTAGCACGACATATTGATAAATTGTTGATAGAATTGATTTTGTTATGTACACTATCGGAATGCTAAACGGTTTATGTAATTTATCTAACGTTCACTATATTTTCTAAATTTGAACCTCTTCATCAGTTTATATGGGGTGAATTTCCTTATAACCGATATTGTTTTCTTTCTGACTTTCTTAAACGCTAAACAAATTACATAAGCGTATGGGCTTTCGCAGCTTAGAACCCTTTTTTTCAGAAAAAAAGTTTCTAGAAGTTTAATGCGTACATGTAAGTTTAAGTAAACTTAGATAAAGTGATAAAAGCTTAAAAGAATAAAGTTTCACCACGATTTAATTATGGAAAATGCGATTTTAAAAATATGGATTTCATATTTAAAAAAGTACAGTAAACTGATTTGCTTATGACAAAAAAAAAAAAAAAAAAATATGTAAAGCATAGGCATTATTTTTCTAAGAGTCTGACACACAAAGAGTCTTATACATCTGTTTCATATTTGGATATTTTACTAGAAAAAGACGTCAATTTCAATCTAACAACACAGCTTTATGATAAACGTGATGACTTTAACTTTTCAATCGTCAACTTCCCTTACTTATGCAGCAATATACCTTCATCACCTGCATACGGGGTTTTTATCTTTCAGTTGATTCGATACGCAAGAGCATGCTCTACGTATCAACAGTTTCTAAAACGAGGTAAGTTATTGACAAACAAGTTGATGAAACAAGAATATCAGCAATCCCGTTTAAAGTTGTCATTTTGTAAGTTCTATGGTCGATCCAATGACCTTGTAAACAAATGCAATTTATCATTAAGTCAAATGCTGACTGACATTTTTCATACTATTTATTAGGCCATTATTTACACACTGAATTGTCGACGGATTTTTCCGTTATTACCCGATCATGACAAGGAACACACGACTGTTGTGACCAGTCGGCAGGGAAAGCTCACTCCTCCATGACATCTGATCCCACCTCTGATGTTTTGGAGGTCCATGTTTGCTCTGCTCTAAAAGTTGTATAATTGTTTAAAGGACTTTTGAGGTTGAATACTGTTCGTTATCTCCATATATTTCATACCTACAAATACACGTATATTTATTGTGTTTGATTGTACAGTACGAAATGCGATGTTGAGATCTTTATTGTAGCTGAAATCCACTGAACGTTACTAGCGGTGAATCACTATATGTATAATACCCATTACCACTGTAACAGCTTACATAAACCCTGTCAACGGTTTTTAATTGCAGAACAACAACATTTGTACCTGTTTGTAATTAAAAATGTCCAGAAAACTGTATACTGCATATTTCACACTAAAGGTTCAAAAAATGATATATTTTATTGAAACATTCCTTTCAAAAAATAAAACTGCCTTGCTTCCAAAAAATAAATTCCTTCCAGTTTTTAGGGGAAGATAACGAACAGCGATTTATAAAAGATACAGTTCTGTAAAGAATGCATAAAACACAGAGGAGTAAGCATCTCGTTCACCGGTTACATCCGCCATTATTCCTAGATATTGATCAGGTATACCAGACATTCTTTAGGCATAATTCGATAAAAAACCAAAAGGCCTAACACGTTAGCCAAAATACCAAGTGAAATGTTATATTTGCTAACAAGAACATAGTATGCTTAGATTTAAAAATCGGTTCTAATTTATACTTTCTGACACTAATACCTGTATTACATAAGTTATATGTAAAGGATGTACTTTTTTATCTTTTCATGAAAGATACCACAAATGTACAAGAGATACGTGGCTTCATGTTAGGAATAATTTAACAGGTTGAATATCAGTTTGCCAATGTAGTAGAGAAGAAATATTCAGAAAGAAAAATGAAAGTGTATCCATGCCGAAAAGTGTATGACGAAAATGGTACTTGAATAAAACCCATTTTCTTTAGAAGCACAGTTGAATGGTTATCAATATTAATCGCTGTGAAAAATTGAAGTGCTGTGCTATATTAAACTTTTAAATTGTCAATAGAGTAATGGGAAATGACAAATACTGTTGATATTACAAATAAAGGATTACACACTAATAATTTGATACATACATACATATATATATATATAATTTTTATATAAAGTAAATTTGCTAAGAACGTCGTTAGCATACATGTAGGTAGAATTTTGTATTAAAAAAAAAATGATTATGAAACTTTTAATGCGTGTGGCAATGTATTTCTCAGAAAGGGTGCATTTACTTGGTCTCAATTTGGCTCATAACCAAAAGCGAAATACATCGAACTGTTCAGTTATAAATATGGCACTGATGATAAACATATTGGACTAATATGGTTAAGTACTGGACAGAAATTTTCAAATGTTAAACTCGTTCAGCGTTTGAAAAGAGCACTTGTCTGAAAATCAGACTAAAATTAAATATAATGTCAATATAAAAAAAAAATATTGCTCCTACATTACTCTTCAAAAATATTTACAGGGTTAAATAAGACATCAGTGTTTGCAATGGGTCCTCTCGTGTTGGAGATTCATAACTTTGCCAATTATTTCTTAAGCTGGAGTTTTAATGTAGAAACTATTTTGGAAATTATTGTGATAAATGATTGCTGAACATTGCATGTGCATGCTAGTGGAAAACATATTAATCTGATATTTTTTATTCTTCCCTCTCAACGTGAAGTACATGAAATTGTTCACATCGAAACACAAAAAAAAAAAAACCCCATTCACTTAAGGACGACGGACCTAATTCGAATTTTAGAACCACTGCGCAGCGCACATATGCCTTGAATCAAACTGACTTAATTATGGATTGCAAAAGATAAAAAATATACATTTTTAATTCTTTTAAAGATATTCAAACGTTTTCTCTCAATTCAAAAATATTGTAGATATTTCGATTTATATTCATTTGTTAATTTTATAAATAAATGATTTATTTGGCCAAGGTATTTTCATTGAAAATTTTCCCCAAAATGTGCCCTACACCTGCGTTTGACATGCCCCCCCCCCCCCCCTGAAAAATCTAAACTGATAACCCATTTATTTTTTGGCATAATTTGCTGGTATATTGTCTACTTAACATTGTCCTTTAATATGAATAAAAATTCTATAAAGAATTTTTTCAATGATCACTCTTATACCCTATACTGGCAATTTCCCATTACCATGTACTTCCTATAGTAATTATCGATTTCCATCGCCAACATCTGAAACGCTCCCAATTAAAAATATACATCGATGACTATATGATTTTTTTTTATTGATTTTAACTCACCAAAAGCCACTTTACTTCATTTTAAAATTTGAATAAAAAATCTAGTGTAGAAATGAATAAGGTCCGTCGTCGTTAAACTTGTCAGTTAATTCAAATGATTTTCAGTACAAGAAAAGACGTAAGTCCATCACCTAGAAAATCAAGTTGTATAATAAACTTCCTTGTTCGGTCAATCATAACAATCACATACCAGTATTCCTATATAAAATGTTTACGGCAAATCACTTTCCTTTTGGTAATTTGAAAATGAAATTTAGTCCAGAAAAATGTGGGGGAATTATGCAATAACATGTGGGGAAATTACCAGGGATGATATGACAGGTAGCTCACCTTTCATTATTTTTTTTTTCTTTCTGCAACAAAAAGATATGGGCAATCTCAGTTTTCCTTTTTTTTAAATTGTAGGGTTTTTGCCGACATAAAGGACTGACCCGCATTTTAACGAGAACACATGCACATATTTTCCACTGAAGCCAAGCGATCTTCAGTAGAGGAAAGGTGTTAAAAATCACAATCTTCATACTTCCAGGTAGATTTTTTATTTGTATTAATATTCTTATTGTATATCTTTTCATTTGTTTGAAAAATCTTTGTGATGGGTGTAGTTTATTTTAACATTTATATGTCGCTAAATCATTAAAATGACAACATTTATGCCTTGATTGCCACAGCAAAAATTTCGGATGCAATTTGTTTTAAACATTATTTTCAGGTATGTTTTGCCACTAGTCATTGACTGCACACATAATTTTCTTTTGTTGTTGTTCTTCATTTTACATTAAAGCCGACTCGTAAATAGGCATACGCCGATTTAGTTTTCCTATCTCCTATATAAAAACGGGGATATATAAACCCTTCGCATCAGTGCACCTGATGGTTTTTACCTTGTCGATGCTGTGTGTAGGACATGTATATCTTACACTGTTCCTTTTGTTTACTTTTTCCTATGGATTTGCATTTATGTTTATTTCAATTTGTAACATTGACCTTTGCAATTAATATTGAATGTATTTTGGTTTTTTTCGATTACGTATTGGAAGCATACACTTTAAGTTATTCTTGTCTCACCCAAGTTTCCTCTGAGTCTGTCCGTCCGTCTGTCTATCTGTCTGTCTGTCTGTCTGTCTGTCCCTCTGTCTGTCTGTCAGTCTGTCCCACTTGGTTTTCCGCATTTTTGTTCTAAACGCTTGCAGATATTGAGCCGATTTTTGGTATGTGAGTGTATCTTGATAAGTTATAGATCAAGTTTGCATTTCGTTCTGCTTCAATGATTTTTGGCGGAACTACGACCTTTTCAATTTTTCAGAGTTGTCTGCGTTTTTTTTTTCGAAACGCTTGCAGATATTGAGCTGATTTTTGGTACATGTATGTGACTTAACCTTGATGAGTTATAGATCAAGTTTGCATTTCATTCCGCTTCATTGATTTTTGAATTATAGCATTTTCAACTTTTTGCGGGGACCAGATTACACTTGCCGTTAGGTGATTAGTAAATGCTAATGCAATACTCTCAGAATGCTTGTTCACAGAGACAATGAAGTAGAACACGTGGATAGTTTTTCCACAGATATATAGAGTTACAAATTAGGCCAAGTGATCTTTAGTATGGGAAAAGAGTTAGAAATCTTCACAAATGCCAGGTAGATTTCTTAAAAAAAAAATCTATTATTATTCTTATTGTGTATCTTTTATTCATTTGTTCGAAAAATCTATGCAATAGAGATTTTTTTAAAAATATTATCTGTCGCTAAATCATTAATATAACCACTTTTATGGCTTGTTTTCCACAGCAAAAGTCTCCCGCATGGTTAGAGCGTCTGCTCTAGAGTCGCGGAGTAAGGAGTTGATCCTTACGTCGCGGGTTCGAATCCCACTGCGGGACGTGGAGACCGGTCCTTCGGATGAGACCGTATAAACCGAGGTCCCGTGTCGCAGTAGGTGCTGGCACGAAAAAGATCTCTCACTGCTCAATGGCCCTGAGTGCCGAGTATAGGTCAAAATTTGTAGCCCTCCACCGGCAAGTGGTGGCGTCTCCATTATATGAGTGAAAAATTCTCGAAAGAGAAGTTAAACAACAAAAAATCATTCAATCAATCCACAGAAAAAAATGTTTTGAACATTAATTTAAGGTATGTTTTACCGCTAGTCATTGGCTGCACACATGATTATTTTTTGTTGCTGTTCATTTCACATTAATGCCCACTCGTTTTAGTTTTCCTATCTCCTACATCAGAAAGGGAATATATAAACCCTTGGCATTCTTCACACGTAATTGTTTTATCTTGTCGGTACTGTGTGTAGGACATATATATCTTACACTGTCCTTTTTGTTTACTTTTTTTCCGTTTAACTTGCATTTGTGTTTATTTCACTTTGTAACATTTATCTGTGCACTCGATGTGGAATATATTTGGTATCTTTCTGTTTCCTGATGTGACAGAAGCATCCATAAGTCATTTTAGTCGCGCCCAAGTATACCACAAAGACAGTGAAGTTGAAGTAGACGCCCTTCCAGGTTGAGTACATGAAAGGAATACATTGAAGTCTAGCACAGCTGAGGCTTATGTAGCAGTGTGTAGGGGCCGTAGAAAACTAATAAGGCAGCCAAAGATGAAAGGCAGATCCAGCGCTGGTGCGCCAGGCGTGCTCCCCCCCCCCCCCCCGTTTGACTTTGTTGTATGTAGAACTTACATGTTCATTATACTAAAGTCAAGGGGAAAAAACTCTTATTTGTAAAAATTCGTCAGCTCCCGGACCCCCATCAGGGCTTTGCCCTGGACCCATTGGGGGCTTCAATAAAGCCCCAGACCCCCTGCCGTCTACTGCGCCCGCCGTTATGAAATTCCTGGATCTGCCACTGAAGATAACTCTCTTCTTTTTTCGAATCGTGTACAGCCTATTTGCAGTTGTACATTTTTTTTTATCACAGAGACAAAAAACTTATGAGTATAACGCGATATATAAAATGATTTCCTTTGTGTGTGTGTGTGTGTGTGTGTGTGTGTGTGTGTGTGTGTTTTACATTCAGCTGCGCATGTGAATGAAAATCGATCGACAAATATATAAACGCTCTGAAATAAATGTATGAGACTTTTTTTATCGAATCAAATGCGGTACAGAAACCTTTTCAATAGCGGATTCAAAAATGTAAAGAAAAGGAGAGAAAGGAAAAGATAACAAGGACACTAAAAATTTCTCATAAACTTCATGGACAAAAATGATAGTAATTTTTTATTAAACAAAAACATGATGATTAAAAGCACAGTAAGTCAAAATTGATAAAGATAGAAACCATCATCATTATTTACAGTGTTTTTTTTTTTTTTTTTTTTTTTTTTTTTTTTTTTTTTTTTTTACACTATTAGACTAAGTATTTTCAGTGCTTTTTGAACCCTTCTTTATATTTGATATTTGTAGAATGGTGAACTTTGTACTTCATGGACTTGGATTTTTTGTCATTACCACAACTTTAATACAAGTGCAAGCGTTGGATTGTTCGTCAAACGAACGCTGCGTATGCCACAAATTAAACGGAAAATTATGGGCAAATTGTAAACACCTCCATCTTGCAACAGCGCCGTCATTCAGCAGTGAAGTCATAGGAATAAATCTGGCTGACAACATACTTTCCAGTTTTCCTACAAAACTCCCTGTAAATATTCTATATTTAAATGTCTCGAAAAATAATCTGGTTAACGTTACTGAGGACTCACTGGCAAGTTATAGTAGTTTGAGAAATTTAAGCATTTCGGAAAATTTGCTTCACACGATTGAACTGGGATCCTTTAAAAACTCTTCAAACTTAGTGCATCTTGATATTTCCGGTAATCAGGAACTGACGTTAGAGGTTTTGGCCAACATATCAAGTGATTTAAGAAAGTCTACTTCCATTCGAGTTTTAAATTTTGAGAAATTACAGTGTACATACGGAGTGAGTTTCATTGTTAAAAAATATCATATGGCTGACCTAAAGCATACAAGTTTAGAGGAACTAAACTTGGCTTCTAATCGAATCAACAGCCTGGAATTGGGTGTTCTCACCGAGTTACCCAAGTCACTAAAATATCTTAATCTGGCTAATAACGTACTCAGTTTTGGATTTTATCTGCTAGAATTCGGCACTTTATTCAACGTAATTTCAATCAATGCGAGTTTTCAGTCCTCCTTTCATCAAATACGACTGAAGGATTTTTTCACAAGGTGCAAAGATACACAGGCGGTATGTGCGAATTTATCGGAAAATGAACATGGGGAAATGACAGCCAAAAAGCGGTTAAGTTTGCCTTTACTTACACAATTCAATGTAACAGTCTTTCTTCCACCAAACTTAAAAACCTTATACTTTCACGATAATTTGTACAAAATGACTCTTCAAAATTTTGTGCTCAAATCTGTTAAAGCACCTGTGTTGTCAAAAGTTTATTTTCAAAACAACATAATATATGAACTAAACGGTCCCATTACCGGGATAGAAAGAGTCGTTTATGCGGACTTCTCTAATAATTTTTGCAGTTATATATCGCCAAGGTTTTTCCAAGATTTTGAAAATTTATCTTATCTTGATCTTTCCCACAATGCTTTGGGTGAAAATCTGGAAAATGATGTTGAGGGAGAGATTTTTCAGAATCTGTTCGTGTTAAAATTTTTAAACCTCACACGAAACAGAATCGTACGACTTCCAAAGAAAATATTTTGGAATCTCAAACAACTAGAAAATCTTAACCTCAGTTTCAATTCTTTGAATAAGTTTACAGTACCCGTCAGTCACATGGATCGCTTGTCTTACCTCGACCTCTCTTATAACCAGATATCGTCCATGAGTAGAGAAACAAGGGACATCTTAGATGCAATTTCCCAAAAGAATCTACTATCTGTGAATTTAAAGGGCAACGAATTAAGATGTGACTGTGAGAACTTGGATTTCGTGAAATGGATTCTAAATTCAAGGAATATTAATTTCCGACATTTTGATGATTATGTGTGTGCATTTTCAAATTCTTCAGGAATTCCATTCTCAGACATCGAAAATCTACTTCAGTTGTTGGAAAAACAGTGTTCCTCATACACTCTTATTATCGTCATTACAACGTCATTAACAATCGCTGTCTTAACCATCACCGTCAGCCGTATTCTCTACAGATATAGATGGAAACTAAGATATATGTATTATGTGGCGAGAGAAAATTATAAAATTAATGTTCATAGGCCAGATGCCTTATCAAATGATCCATACCACTTTGATGCATTCGTATCTTATGCTGACGAAGACAGAACATTCGTCATCGGCCTTGTAAAGCACTTGGAAAAGGAATTCAATCTAAGGCTGTGTATACATAATCGTGATTTCATCCCAGGGACAGGAATAGCAGAAAATATAACAAATGCCATTCATAATAGCAGGAAAACCTTCTGTATTATGACGTCACATTTCTTAGATTCGTACTGGTGTATGTTTGAACTCAACATGGCACGTATGGAGGCCATTTATTCCAGAAACGGTGAAAATGTTTTGTTTTTGGTTGCATTAGAGAAAGGTATAATGAAAAAGTTACCATTATCATTCATGGACTTGATCGAGTCCAAATCGTACATAGAATTTCCGGAAGGTGAAGATGAGGATGAAATAACAGCCTTTAGATCCAAACTGGGAGATACAATCAGACGATCAGTGTAGATCTTAATAAGCATGCAGACACAAGTTTTAGTTATATAATATTATTATATAATTGGTTCTAGTAATTTACCATTGTCATGTAAACAAAATGTTTCTATATATAAAGTCGATCTTATGAGAAATGTTGAACAAACCATTAGAAAGGGTTATGTTAATATATTTTATGTCAGTTTTTCATCATTATCTACCATATTACGACTGTAGTTTACTTGTTTGGTATGGTATGATATCACGTTGTACATTAGCCGCCTGTCATCTTTCTTATGAAAGAAGTAATCCCATGACATTAAAAATGCAGAGTGTTCGTTTTTCTTACTTTATTATGAATACGAATTCAAAAATTAAACCTTTTTTGTAGAAAGGACATTTTAGCGACATTTTCTTCGTATTACATAAAATATAAGTAAAGAAGAACTTCTAAGGGACTCAAGAAAGACAATTATTCATTGATTTTTTTTCTTCCGTTTTCAAGTTTGTCACGTGACCATTTTGGAAGCCTATATATATAAATAGACAGCGTAAGTTTCATCAGCATATCACTTCATTAACATCAATGACTGTACATTAATTGACAGAGTTCTTGATCAACACAAGTTTTGCAGGATTCTATAAAAACTACACTTTTTGTCTAAGGCCGTTAATTAGGCCTCATGCAGGCAGATTTGCTCCAGGGGTTGGCAAAACTCATTTTGCCCAAGAACACAGTCAATATTAATTTTTTTTTAATACATTTTACCTTTGGAACGGATGGTGCACATCTTTTGCTGGCTTCCATGTGTGTAAATTTCATTAACCTGCACTGTCAGTTTCAGCTCGTCCAATTCCGTAACTGATGAACACCAACGAATGCAAATAAGATATAGCTAATCCCTCCCAAAATGTGACGTAAGCTGTCCAATATATCATCGACAGGTCCAATATCTCGCTCTCCGGCTGCCACCGACTTTTTTGAATGCTCAGAAAAAGCTTTGAAATGTAATGCTTTTTTAAGTAAAGATTTATATACAAAACGATTTTTAAAGGTATGACAATAAAAATTGCTGTCTTGGGTGACAATAAACTTTGCTATTGTCCACAGAGCCAGTAAATAGGTGTATAATATTTCTTTATCATAGTCTTGCAATTCAATACTCCAGATATTTAATGAATCGGATATCTCCCGTGGTCCGTCCTATCTCCAATAACAAGATTGCGCAGGGTTGGGGTCAAATGAAATGTAATTAAATACTTTCAAATACATTGAAAAATTTTTCAATTACTTGCAATTACAATTACATTGATTTTTACAAATGTAATTAATTACTCTCAATTACTTTTAAGAATGTAATTAAATACATTTCAATTCACTTTCAAAAATCTTGAAAAACAAATACATGTAAATTTAATGTAGGGGGAATATTTAAAATAAATAATGTCAGGTGCATGAGATGTTTGTGTGTTTCATCAACATAAGACCTAGTCCCACATGTACGTTTATCAATTGACTGCCTTAATGAAATTTGATTAAAAACGAGTTTTCAAGAGTTTAAGAATCAACCATAAAATACTTCCCAAATTATTTCAGCTACAGGTAGGCAAGCTTAACACCCTAAATTGCAAATGTTGACAATTTTCATTCAAAAAATAATACTTATTTTATGTTATAACCATTTCAGATACCAAATGCATAAATGTATATAAAGATCTGTTTAATTATTTCTTTTCTGAAGTATACAAATAGCAGAGAATTCTTAATAGTATTTAATGAATCGCTATCTTTGAATTCAAACAAAGCATGTGGTAAAATTATACAAAATTTTGGGTTTATTCTATCTATTCCCACTTTTTGAAAATCAGGTAAGAAAAGGTAAAATTTTAAGTGAGAATACATGGAATTTTTGTGTAAACAAATAATTAACTGTGGAGGGTTGTTTTTATAACAATTTACAGTTGGGAGTTGAAGGGCAACAAGGCAGATCTTAATGACACATTAAATTATATTCTATTCTTTTTGATAATCAAATCAAGCAACAAAAAATTGAAATTTCCATGCCTATACCAATGAGAGGTAGAACAAAATTTTTCATAAACATTAAACTAGTATTAATAATTTATGTGCATTATGATTATAAAACAATTTAACATTTTTATAAACAAACCAATATGTCAAATTCATTCATCCAGCTATAAAAAAAGGTTAAGATTTTGAAAAAAAAGAAGGGCTTATTTGAATAAATTTAAAAAAACTGTAAAATGTGACCGTGTTGGAAATATTTTCCTATTAAATACACAATATGTATTACGTAAAGTAACTGAAATGTAATTGAAAAGTAATTGAAATTACAGGGTTTTTTTTCAATGTAATTAATTATATTCAATTACAAGTAATTGAAAAATGTAATTAATTACACTCATTTACAATTACTTTATTCAATTACCCCATCCCTGACATTATGGTCAATATCAACACTTACCCACTCATGGCACGGATATTCTATATATCGGACGAATTTACCATCACAATCTCTGATATGGACCATGGTACTAGAACTGTCAGTTATCAGTATTTGATTATTGACATCAGTAACAATTAAAGATATTAAAAATAGTGTGTTCTTCATCTGATTGGAGAGGTTACCCTGATGTTTGAACCGTAAGTGCCCGGATTTATCGACCAAAATGACGGCTTTGCAACCAAGACAGCCACACAAATATCACTGTTGCCATTTTCAGTAAAATTAAGAATACCCCCCCCTTTTTTTTTGTACCAAACAAAGGTTGTACGTGATTGTCATACTGGATCTCCCTAATATGTGTTCTTCCTGTGTACCACATCACTCTACTCTGTTCACAATCTCTTGTGTGCATGCCCACTAGTAGATCTCTATTCACAGTACAGTGTAAACCTCTTACAAACCAGTCAGTTAATTCTAAAAGTATTTCAACCGTGTTATTCCTGTAAATGTATACTTGTCTATTGGACCAACCAATTAAAAATACTGGTTCCTGGTTTGAATTTACAGTCATTGCTGCGACAGCATAGGAGTCTTTACTGTTTGCAAGAAAGATCAATTTCTGTCTTTAAGTCATTGTATCGTCTCGTCCACTTATCCAGATCGAAGTTTTACCTCACACAATTTACCTTATGACTCCTCCAAATAAAAGCTTTTTCTATTAGAACTCTGAATTGTGACAGTACTCTTACGTCATTCTTCACTTTTAGCACACCATCAGGACTAATTGGCATATTGCTAGTCGGGGGTTCCTTGAGAGTCTTGCGCCATTTTCTTTTCTTCTTTTCTTTAGAGAGCATCCAACAACTTCAAGCAACTTTAGATCTGATTTTTCAGCCATGTGCATTAATGCAAATATCACCCAAAGAATAATACATGGAAGTTCCAATGGGAGAAGAACATGACCAAAGCAAACGACTCCCTTGTCCCTGATCAGTAGTTAGACTCCTAGTTAACTTCCAGTTGTCTGTAAAGCGCGCATATGCGCATTTGGTGAGTCAAAATTGGTACCGTATATGATTTACACTATAAAGAAATGAAGAATATTAACCAGCGTGATCAACATCAATTCATCCCTAGCAAATCTTTAGTTATTGAAATACATAAGGGAGGAGTGTATCAGCGAATCATGGACTTTGCTGATTGCATCAAACGATCGATGATTAATTGCAAAAAAATAAGCACTTGAATGATTAAATGTCACGAAAAGACAAAGAAAAAAAAAAAAAAAAAAAAAAAAAAACAAAGCAAAAACAAAAAAAAAAAAAAAAAAAGAAAAGAAAAAAAAAAACCAGAATGGTCTTGTCAAAAGCAATACATGTATGGAATATGTGTATATTATTGACAAGTTTGAAGTTTTTGCAGAATAAAACATACCAACACATACAAATACATTTACTGTAAAACAGGCAGACAGACAGACGAACATATTTGCTAAAATATATGCCCCCGCAACGTAGATAACGATTGATTGATTGATTGTATATTGTTTTACGTCCCATTCGAGAATTTTTCACTCATATAGAGACGTCACCATATACCGGTGAAGGGCTTCAAATTTTGACCTTTACTCGGCACTCAGGGCCATTGAGCAGTGAGGGATCTTTATCGTGCCAACGCCTGCCGTGACACGGGGCCTCGGTTTTTAAGGTCTCATCCGAAAGACCCGCAACTTTCACTTCAAAGTGCCGAGCGCATGGCGAAGGAACAGTTGCTACCTATTTTTTATCGACTTAGGTCTGTCGCGGCCGAGATTCGAACTCACGACCTCCCGATCACGAAGCGAGCGCTCGTAGATAACGAAGGCACAAGAATGGTTAACAAGATGCCCAGGGGGCCATATCGCTCACCTGAACACTGTGGCTAGGAAAAAAGCAAAAATCAGTTTAGTGTTGAAAATCTTAAATGCATAAATGGTCCCGACATGCCCCTAAAAGGGAGTTGGGGGGGGGGGGTATGAATTGAACAAAATTGAATCTACACTAACTAAGGAAGCTTACATATTTTTTTTCTGTTAAATGTGACTTTTTCCCTACAAATTTGAACTTTCATTGTGGCCCCACCCTACAACTGGGGGTTATTGATTTGAACATATTTGAATCTACACTATCTGAGGATGCTTCCATATCAATATGACCAATCATGGCTTTGCTGTTCTTGAAAAGATGACTTTTAAAATTTTTCCTATAAACAACTACAGGGCCAATTTAAACCAAACGTGGCACAGAGTATCCTTGGGTGAAAGGAATTCAATTTTGTTCAAATGAAGGGCCACACCATCCTCCAAAGGGAGATAAATACGAAATAGCCAAAAATTAATGGCATCATTGAAAAATCTTTTTCTCAAGAACAAATGGGCCAGGAAAGATGAAACTCATATGGAATAATTGTCAGGTAGTGTAGATTTAAATTTGTTCAAATCAAGACCCCCAGGGGTAGGGTGAGGCCACAAAGGACGATCAACTTTTTACATAGTAATATAAAGGAAAAATCTTCAAAAATCTTCTTCTCAAGAACAGCAAAGCTA